ATGATGATGATGATGATGATGATGATGATGATGATGATGATGATGATGATGATGATGATGATGATGATGATGATGATGATGATGATGATGATGATGATGATGATGATGATGATGATGATGATGATGATGATGATGATGATGATGATGATGATGATGATGATGATGATGATGATGATGATGATGATGATGATGATGATGATGATGATGATGATGATGATGATGATGATGATGATGATGATGATGATGATGATGATGATGATGATGATGATGATGATGATGATGATGATGATGATGATGATGATGATGATGATGATGATGATGATGATGATGATGATGATGATGATGATGATGATGATGATGATGATGATGATGATGATGATGATGATGATGATGATGATGATGATGATGATGATGATGATGATGATGATGATGATGATGATGATGATGATGATGATGATGATGATGATGATGATGATGATGATGATGATGATGATGATGATGATGATGATGATGATGATGATGATGATGATGATGATGATGATGATGATGATGATGATGATGATGATGATGATGATGATGATGATGATGATGATGATGATGATGATGATGATGATGATGATGATGATGATGATGATGATGATGATGATGATGATGATGATGATGATGATGATGATGATGATGATGATGATGATGATGATGATGATGATGATGATGATGATGATGATGATGATGATGATGATGATGATGATGATGATGATGATGATGATGATGATGATGATGATGATGATGATGATGATGATGATGATGATGATGATGATGATGATGATGATGATGATGATGATGATGATGATGATGATGATGATGATGATGATGATGATGATGATGATGATGATGATGATGATGATGATGATGATGATGATGATGATGATGATGATGATGATGATGATGATGATGATGATGATGATGATGATGATGATGATGATGATGATGATGATGATGATGATGATGATGATGATGATGATGATGATGATGATGATGATGATGATGATGATGATGATGATGATGATGATGATGATGATGATGATGATGATGATGATGATGATGATGATGATGATGATGATGATGATGATGATGATGATGATGATGATGATGATGATGATGATGATGATGATGATGATGATGATGATGATGATGATGATGATGATGATGATGATGATGATGATGATGATGATGATGATGATGATGATGATGATGATGATGATGATGATGATGATGATGATGATGATGATGATGATGATGATGATGATGATGATGATGATGATGATGATGATGATGATGATGATGATGATGATGATGATGATGATGATGATGATGATGATGATGATGATGATGATGATAATAATAATGATAATAATAATAATAATAATAATAATATAATAATAATAATAATGATAATGATAACATTAATGATAATAATATAATAATAATAAGATAATAATAATAATAATAATAATAATGATAATAATAACAATGATAATAATGATGATAATAACAATGATAATAATGATAATAATAATAATAATGATAATAATAATAATGATAATAATAACAATGATAATAATGATGATGATAATAACAATGATAATAATGATAATAATAACAATGATAATAATGATAATAATAACAATGATAATAATGATGATGATAATAACAGTCATACTAATAATGGCAATAACTATAAGAATACGAGTAGGAATAAGAATAACAACAATAAAAACTATAATAAGAATAAGAACAATGATGATAATGAAGAGGACAGATAATAGCAAAATCATTACTAGCAGTAGTGGTAAAAGAAGTCAGGAGTAGTAGTATCAATAGTAATGATACTAGTAGTAGTAGCACTAGTAGTAGTAGCACTAGTAGTAGTAGCACTAGTAGTAGTAGCACTAGTAGTAGTAGCACTAGTAGTAGTAGTAGTAGTAGTAGTAGTAGCAATAGTAGTAGTTGTAGTAGTAGTAGTAGCAATAGTACTAGTAGTAGTATCAATAGCAATGATAGTAGTAGTAGTAGTAGCAGAAGTAGTAGTGGTAGTAGCAGCAATAGTACCAGTAGTAGTAGCAATAGTAGTAGTTGTAGTAGTAGTAGTAGCAGAAGTAGTAGTGGTAGTAGCAGCAATAGTACCAGTAGTAGTAGCAATAGTAGTAGTGATAGTAGTAATAATAATAGTAGTAGCAGCAATAGCAAAAGTATTAGTAGTTGTTATTGTAGTAGTAGAAATGGTATCAACATTGTACATATTTTTTTAAGAACGCGGACAAAGTTCTTAAAAAAAAAAAAAAATACAGACGGTGATTGATCAGTCAAGAATGAGATCGTGAAAAGGAAGAGAAGCAACTGAGAGAAGGAAATATGAGATCCTCCCTTGACAGTTGGCGTTCTAGAGTTCCCAATCCTTCTTTTTTTTTTAGTTCCTTGTCCGCTTAATAGATGTCTCTCATATGTTTTCCTTTCTGAACGGCTGTCAGTTTGGGTGAATGAAATCAATGGTAGTGATTATCATACTAATATTTCTGATAATGATAATAATAATAATGATAATAATAATAATAATAATAATGATAATAATAATAATAATAATAATGATAATAATATAATAATAATAATAAATAATAATAATAATATAATAATATAATAATGATAATAATATAATAGTAATGATAATAATAATAATATAATAATGATAATAATGTGATATAATAATGATAATATAATATAATATGATAATGATAATAATAATATAATATGATAATGATAATATAATATAATAATGATAATATATAATATAATAATGATAATAATGTGATATAATAATGATAATAATGATAATAATATAATAGTAATGATAATAATATAATAATATAATAATAATATATAATAATAATGATATATAATAATGATAATAATAATAATGATAATAATAATAATAATAATAATAATAATAATAATAATAATAATAATAATGATAATAAGTATAAGTATAAGTATAAGTATAAGAATAATAAGAATAATTATTATTATCATCATATTAATGCTGATTTCCATTCCTACCTTTTCTATAAACAATAATGATACTGATAATAGTAATAATAACGCTGCTGCTATGGTGATAATAATAGCAATGATAAAAATGATAATAATAACAATGATAATAATGATAATAATAACAATGATAATAATGATAATAATAACAATGATAATAATGATGATAATAACAATGATAATAATGATAATAATAACAATGATGATAATGATAATAATAACAATGATAATAATGATGATAATAACAATGATAATAATGATAATAATAACAATGATAATAATGATAATAATAACAATGATAATAATGATGATGATAATAACAGTCATACTAATAATGGCAATAACTATAAGAATACGAGTAGGAATAAGAATAACAACAATAAAAACTATAATAAGAATAAGAATAATGATGATAATGAAGAGGACAGATAATAGCAAAATCATTACTAGCAGTAGTGGTACAAGAAGTCAGGAGTAGTAGTATCAATAGCAGCAGTGTAGAAGTAGCACTAGTAGTAGTAGCACTAGTAGTTGTAGTAGTAGTAGTAGTAGCAATAGTAGTAGTTGTAGTAGTAGTAGTAGCAATAGTACTAGTAGTAGTATCAATAGCAATGATAGTAGTAGTAGTAGCAGAAGTAGTAGTGGTAGTAGCAGCAATAGTACCAGTAGTAGTAGCAATAGTAGTACTTGTAGTAGAAATAGTAGCAACGGTGATAGTAGAAGCAATAGTAGTAGTGATAGTAGTAATAATAATAGTAGTAGCAGCAATAGCAAAAGTATTAGTAGTTGTTATTGTAGTAGTAGTAATGGTATCAACATTGTACATATTTTTTTAAGAACGCGGACAACGTTCTAAAAAAAAAAAAAGAAAAAAAAATTTACAGACGGTGATTGATCAGTCAAGAATGAGATCGTGAAAAGGAAGAGAAGCAACTGAGAGAAGGAAATATGAGATCCTCCCTTGACAGTTGGCGTTCTAGAGTTCCCAATCCTTCTTTTTTTTTTAGTTCCTTGTCCGCTTAATAGATGTCTCTCATATGTTTTCCTTTCTGAACGGCTGTCAGTTTGGGTGAATGAAATCAATGGTAGTGATTATCATACTAATATTTCTGATAATGATAAATGATGCTAATAATAATTATAATAACAATGATCATATAACATGAAGATAATAATAATAATATTATAGTAATGATAATAATATAATATAATAATGATAATAATATAATAGTAATGATAATAATATAATATAATAATGATAATAATGTGATATAATAATGATAATAATATAATATGATAATGATAATAATAATATGATAATGATAATATAATATAATAATGATAATAATATAATATAATAATGATAATAATATGATATAATAAGGATAATGATAATAATAATATGATAATGATAATATAATATAATAATGATAATAATATAATATGATAATGATAATAAAAATAATTAATAACAATAATAATAATAATAATAATAATAATAATATCATATAATAATGATAACAATAATAATAATAATATAATGATAACGGTAATGACATGAACTGTAAACCACTTCTGTTATATTCATTCCTTAATCTACTATCTACTCCAGACCCCCCTTTATCATCCTTTATCACTTATCTACTTAAGAAGTCTATTTTAATTACCCGTAACATCATTTACTTAAAAATCCACAGCAATCTACCCAAATATGAACTTATAACTTATGATGATAGTATTGCTATCATTAATGATGATGGTGATTGTCATATTAATGATGATGATAATGACAATGATAGTAATAATGATAGTAGTGATAATAGTAATAATGATGATAAAAAATAAAGATAATAGTTGTAATAATGATGGTGATAATAACAATAATAATAATGATAATA